CATACATTTCATACTTTCAAATATTTCAAACAACGAAAGTAGTAGAGACAACCCTCAAACATGCTTTTCCATAGACATAAAATAATTTCCAGCATGCATTTCATACTTCCAATTATTTCAAACAACGAAAGTAATAGAGACAGCCCTCAAACATGCTTTTCCATAGACATAAAACAATTTCCAGCATTTAATAGATGATGGTGGTAATGATTTGGCATGGAATATTTCAAGCAACGAAAGTAGTAGAGACAGCCCTTAAACATGCTTTTCCATAGAGACATAAAACAAGATAGACATAAAACAAGTTCCAGCATGCATTTCATACTTCCAAATATTTCAAACAACGAAAGTAATAGAGGCAACCCTCAAACATGTTTTTCCATAGACATAAAATAAGGAATAAAAATGCATTTCTAGACTACTCTTCCAATGATTTCATTTATCATGCATATCATATGTCTTAAGCATAGAAGAAGAGAAAGCAACCATGGTATGCTATATTCTGATGTTCAAGAAGACTATTTCATGCATAAATCACTGAACATACACAAATCATGCTTCTTCACGTTTTAAAAAAAAAGACTGGAAATATTTTTATGCCATCCGAAATAGTGTAGAATAGAGGAGAGGAGAAGAATACATCTTTAATGCAAACTTAAAGCAAAGCACTAAAAATAGGATTTAAGAAAACACCACACAGAAATTTCTTCCTGAGAGCTTCACACCAGTAGCCCTCACGATTTCTAGCTCCAGCCGCAAGGGTATCAAACAACAGGAGGGAGAAGAACTTTTCTCAAACAACAAAGAAGAAGGAGATTACCTTTTCAACAGTCAAGTAGAGAGAAAGAAAACCCCAAATTTTTCCTAAAAGCCTTCCTTTCTCGAAGCCCTCTCTTTCCTTTTTTTTTAAGATTTTTTTTTTAAAGAAAATAAAATTCCAGAAAGATTTCAAGCGTACACACAAGATGAATCAACCAAAAAAACAAAATGGCAGCACCTCCCCCTCTCAAGAAAATTCGGCCAACCTTAGACCCTCCCCCAAAGTGGGGTTTTTACAGCAGAGAAAGGAGCAAAGCAGAAGAGCAGCCACCTACCAGCCTCCCTAGTAGCCAAATTAGGTAAAGGAAGAGGAGAAATGCATTTAGAGCGGAGGAAATGCGGCCTAGGGCAGAGGAAGAGCCGGCCAGGTGGAACTTCGCAGTTGGAGGACCGCTCGGACGAGCAGAGCTCAAGGAGACGAGCCGCGTGCGCGAATGGCAGAGGAATGTCGCGTGTGAGGGAAGAGATGCAGGAAAGGAGGCAGACGTGGCAGCCATTGCCTCGGTCTCGGATGCCGCCGATCGCGGAAGAGGAGAAACGTGCGGAAGCTAGGGCTCCGCTCGAGCGGCTCTCGGTCAAGGCAGAGGAATGTCGTGTGTGGGTTAGGTGAATAGAGATTAGGTTTTATAAATATTATATGATTAAAAATATAAGTATGAAAATATTTAATTTTTAAAGTAAAATTTTAATTTGCACATTTTAATTTGTGCGTGAAATCATTGCAAATTGGATGTCTTTTTTAGGTAATTCTGATGTTCTGGACACGCTGGCACGGTCCATTTCGCCATTGGAAGTCGTTTTGACAAATTCATCGATTTGCCAGACGCGTTTGCGCGGTCCATTTTGTCGTCGGAGGTCATTCGGAGAAGTTCGCATTTTCACCCGTCCTTTGGGCTTAATTGAAGTCTGATTTCGTGCAATTTTGTGAATTTTGTGCATTTGGTGTGTGTACGTGATGATGTTTTCCTAAGACTTGGAGTCCTATTGGGAACTTTTCCCTGAGTTCTCACAAGATAGCCCATAACCACTCGTTCATAAGACGATGATATTGTGCCATAAATATTGGACATCAAAGAAAAAGAGAAATTAGTTAGAATTTCTAAAAGGGTGGGTCTCAATTCTAGTTTTCTAAGATGATTAATAGGAACTCCTAGAGCTAGATCCTAAGACCCTAAGAAAAAAGAAATGACCTCAAAAATGAGGTCAACAGCCTGCAGGAAGTGTCGGCGGCTAGGTTGGTGTCCCAGCGGAGGCTTGGGTGGTGTCCCGGCGGCAGCTCGGGTTAGATTCATGGCTTTGATATCAAGTTGAAATTCACCAGGAAAATTTAACAGGAAAATTTAACATGATGAAAGTTATAAAATAGGAAAGACATAAATAAGGAAATATATAAATAAGGAAATACATAAACCAGGAAATATTTGGAAAGGAAAGGAAAAAACTAAATGCTAATAATTCTAATAAGTAGTTTAACATACATCAATGTATCCATTCATTATTCATATATATCTTAACACTTAAATTAAGCATTGTTAGTACAGCCCCATAAAAAATATTATGGCAGGCAGGTAAATTTTAATTTTCTACGTTACTCAAATTGAGCAGCCCCCAATTCCATTGTCAAATGAATCATCATTAAATTGACTACTTTTGATAAAATAAATCTTTCCCTCTTACGACTTACTAATTTCCACTGGAGTTGAATAAGCAATGTCCTACTCTTGCAAGCAAATCTATTTTTTCAATTAAATGCAAATGCTGTGAAAAATCTTATCTGAAAGAGTTATCGGAAGAATTTTGCATTAATATGTTTCGACCTACAAGTGTGATGATAAAAATTTACAGAGAAACTTAAGAAAATAGTGATCAGACTAACCTAAACAGAAAAATATCACAATATTGAAAACTTTGAAACTAGCCACTAATTAGTTGGCGGCTTCCACTTGATCGAGGTACTCAATTGGTGACACAGCATACTACATTATGAATAATTAATTGGTGACTTCACTTGATCGACGACAGCTACATTAGTTTATTAGAATAATTTTACCATAAACAATTAGTGTTTGGATACTCATCTTTGATAAAATAACTTTGCACTTCGTCATCGTTTAAATGCGTAGCCATGAAGCCAACGCATATTGGCTAGTGACAGAAAGGATTTGCATCAAATTTGAAGCTATCAGTACTTAAATATTGTTGAATTTTTCATTTTAACAAAATAAAAAATAAAATAAAAATATGATATTCACAGCTCTTTTTGTTGCTGTTACTACCCACGAATATCAGATAGTGTGAAATTCTTTTACAACTAAATTCATCATTATATTAAAACACTAACCTTCATTCCTGTTCATTTTCTCAAGATTCAGAATGATTTTCTATCATTTTAATTTCATAGATTAATCCCCTAGAATTACTATAATGCATATAATCGTCCTAAAATTCATAATAGTAAATCCAAATTTGTACGAACTTTTTAAATATTTTAGAAGTTGAACGACATGAATCCAAACTAAGACAGCATCGTGAGAATTAAAAGCACTCTTCAATATAAGACAAACAATCAATAACTAGCCACCAATTAAGATTTAAGTGAGAAGATAATTTAGACTTTTAAAGTTCATTGAAATTCTAACATACATATTTTGTTGGAGAATCAAACTAGTATTTCACAAAATAATAATAATAATAATAATAATAATTAGAAATCTAAAACGAGATAATAGAGTTTTCATACAAAATTTTCAAACGTGTAAAAAAACTAAAATTCCTCTTATTATAGAATATTATGGTGCTGCATCAAATTGACAAGAATTAGGTTCCTCAAACCTTTCAAAGAAATTTTAATTTGCAAATAGACATTCTCATCACCCCTCATTAATTTTAGACCAATTCATCAGCGGACCAAGGTTGCTAACTAAAAACCAAACATTCAGGGCCTATCTGGCAACGGATTCAGACCAAGATTTAACCTAGATTTAGGCTAAATCTTGCCGGACAGTTTTATGCACAAAATAAAGCCACAGCTGCGATAAATCCGTGTTTCACAGATTTTATCTGTAAATCCGGGATTTACTAAATCCTCTAAATCAGTGGATTTAACTTCGTGCTGCGGATTTAACGTCGGGACTGTGAAGCTGGAGGAAAAAGCACAAAGAAAAGGTGGAAGCAGGGAGGTTTTCCCCGTGAAGTGTGAAAAGAAAAGGAGAGAAAATGGGTTTTATACAAGAGAGTAGGACAGGTGTAGCCAGGAAGCAGCCTCAAGTGCAAGCAGGAGTTGGAGATGCATAGTTTGGCGTAATTTGCGAAGCGACGGACAGGGAGGAGTTTTGGGGTTCGGAGAAATGAATTGGGAGGGAAAGTTCAGCTGGGAAAAGGAGATTGCAGTTTCTCCTGTGTGCTTGAGCTGAATAGGATAGGGGAGGACAGAAACGGATGGACAAGAGAGGGAGAAGACTTAGGACCCCATCCACAGAATTCGAAAACAAATTTATGCATTCAGTCTTATTTTCAATTGAAGAAGATTGCTTTTCATCATCTGTTATTCATCTGATTGTTTTCATTTACCTTGATTAGATAATTGTCAGTTCAAACTATTTTCTTTTCATGTCTAAGGCTTTGTTTGTAATGATGGAAAGTCAAGGAGCTAAATTTAAATTTAGTCAACTTGTGGGTTGTTATACTTTCGCAACAAATAAAAAAAATCAAACCAAATAGAAATATATATAATTTAACATTACGTAACAAATTTAGCAGACTTTTAAATCCTGACAGAAATTATCAAACAATTTCATAACATTTAACATGATTTACTAAATCCATTGTCAAACTGTTTTTGAGATTTAACCCTTTCAGAATTTACTAAATCCAGATTTACACGATTTATGAAAACTCCTAATTTAAATCTCATCATTTACCAACTTACCATACAGCCCCTCAATTTCTTTGAAATTTTAATCTTGCTATACCCATATGCGTACAATGACATTGCCATTGAAATCAACAAATGGATATGGCCCGAAAAAATGAATAATGATACTTGCTCTTTATTTCTTCCAAAATTTGAGATATTTTTGGTTTTAGTAGAAAACTTCTACCAGAAGCAAATAGAAACAAAAAAAGGGTAAAACTACCAAAGAAAAAAATGAAGGTGAAAAAAAAAAAAGCAAGCTTCTTACCGTGATGGAGGATCGGCATAAGTAGAATAATCTTGAAATACATCTGAGATCATTTCACCACCACCTGGTCAGAAATTCAACAGCATTAAGAATAAGCAGAGTATATAGATGGATCTAGAGCAAGGCGAGCAGGAGATGCTCAACTCAAAACTAGTATGGAAAAACTTCATTACCTAAAAACGGCGGCATGGAAGACAAAAGGTCGATTTTTCCGTACAAAAATCCAATGCCTGTAGGCCCACACATCTGAGATATGGTTGCCACGTTCTAACAGTCACCCTCAAAGGATGAACTTAAAAAAAATTGATGAAAAGAATCTAAATAGAACCGCAGAATAATATCTCACACGTATACTTTCATATTCACACACATCACACTAAAATCTTTAATTTTACATCAAATATAACACTACCATCACTTTCTAAAGCAAAATACACCTTTTCATGCATATGTTTAAAGCATCAAAGTGCTATATATGTAAATATGGAAGTTTAGGTTTGATCTATATAAATAAATAAGAATTGTGTGCTAGGTAGGTAAATTTCCCATAAAAATAATAAGGCTAACCTTGTGGGACGATGCAACAAGAAAATCTACATTGAGCTTTTGAACATCTACCATCATGTGAGGAACACTTTGACAAGCATCAAGCAGAACTCTTGCACCCACCTCATGAGACCAAATTACAATATCTTCTATGGGATGAACAGAACCTGTAGAGGAATACAAACTTGCTCAGAATTGTATGGTTTTTATATATTGTTTTAAATTACATTTCACCGGTCATCTTTTTATTTAATCGTATTAAAAATAGCAGCATCAGTATTGCAAAGTTCGGAAGTTATAATTCTGAAGGCAAAATCTGAGAAATCACTACTTATATACAGAGTGTGATCGTTATGAACAAATCTTACGTCAAATGTGCAGAATTGTTTAAATATTTAGTGGGAGATTATACAAAATTATATAACAGCCAAAATCATATAGAAATACAAAAAAATATGACAATAAAAATTCACCATACTTATCATCCCCATTTTTCATTGATTTATAGAAGTTACCTTATTCAAGGACATTGCATGAAATTATTAAAGATCGCAATATAAACATACCAAGTGTATTTGAAACATGATGTGTGACCACCAGCTTAGTTTTATTTGAGAGGGCTTTCTTCAACTTTTCGATGTCTGGAACTTCACCTGTTGTCAAACCAACATATTTCAAAGAAGCGCCCTTCTTTTTGGCAACAATTTGCCATGGAACAATGGCACTGTGATGTTCTGCAACTGTAAGGAGAATCTGAAGAAAATTAAACATCATAAAAGACAAGTAAGAATGTTTACAAGCAACAGAATAAAACTCATATAAATTTTAATATTAAAAAAAGCTGTAGATATAAACAAGCGCTCAACAGCATTTTGCTAGACCAACACCGAGCTCGCCAAATAATTTGAAGACTTATGCTAGGCACAAGGCAAAAATGGCAATTTAATTATTTGTAAATTATTGTTGTGGGTATAAATAGGGCTTATTATGCTTAGGGTGAGGTTATGCTATGAGATCATTGTCTTGAGCCATAGGATTAGAGCTTGGAAGAGATCATGACAGCTTTCGAATTGTACGTGCTTCTCTTCATATATTTGAGTTGAGTTGTTTGGTGTTATTGAAATAAAATATTTTGTTACGCACTAATTTCTAAGGAAAACTCCTCTAGTTCCTAACAAATTGGTATCACAACATTCGATTATGGCAAACAAACGACGAGATCATGATAGCTGGTAAGCTAAGATAGATCACATACAAGTTTTATCAGAGAAGAGATTGAGTGTGCCCTAGCGGCGATCAAAGAAGCTGACGACAGGATTGTGGCGTTTCTGTCGTGATTCAAGCTAGTTGGAGCCGATAGAATTGCTATTTTACATAGCTGGGAAGCCAATGAAGGGATCGCGACATGAATATAGTCACAATACAATCGTGATTAAGTACTAGAAGCCAAGTTCGAGATCACGACAAATAGTGGGAAGCCAATGACAACAGAAGTGCATGTGCCCTAGTCGCACAATCGCGATTCAATTTCTTTAGGAAGCACCGCAGAGTGCCATAGTCACATAATTTCGAGTAGAGCTAGTTAGGAAACCAATGAACGAGATCGCGGTGTTCAGAGTTCTGCCTTAGAGATAAAAAATTTTTTGAGAGAAATGCCAGCCAAAAAAATTAGATGCTCTGGAGAAGTAAAAAGAAAAAAGTGAGTCAAATCAGATCTAAAATGAAGGAGCATTCTTCGGGAGCGTTTCTCGATCATGGAGGGGTGGTTCTCGTCCATGGAGGGGAGATTCACGGCCCTAAAAAAAATGACGAAGGTCGTGAAGTTTCACGTAAACCTGCCACTACCTAGTGCAGGATCAAGCGATGGCATCTGGAGCAGATGCCAGCGGCGACAATCAATAGGACTCTGCGGTGGGCAGTGTCATTGTCTTAGGGAGGAATTGGAGTCGTGAGATCAAGAGAAGAAATGAACTCGAGCGTTCAATAATCCCGGGACCGAGGGTTTTTCCCATCAATGTGAGCCCAAATCGCTACCCTTAGGTACAAGTGGACGAGATCGATAGATGAATTCAGGAGATGAAGGTCGGGATCATACAACCTAGTACGAGTTCCTTCTCTAGCCCAGTCTCATTAGTGAAGAAGAAGGATGGGGGTTGACATTTTTATGTGGATTATCGAGTTGTGAATGAGAAAATAATACCTCTCAAACTTCTCATCCAAGTGATCGATGAGTTGTTGGACATTTGGGGCTTTAACATCCTCTAAAATTGGCTCAAAGTCATGGCACCAATAAATTCAGATGCGACAAAAGAACGTGTATAAGATTACATTTTGAATTCATAACTATCACTGTTAATTTCCAATTAGATGAAAAGAATTGTCAGATGAGAACATCATGTGAGAGTCATACGAATTGATCCGACAACTATTACTTTTCTTCTACTTTGAGGACAATGTGCCTTTTGGAAGAAAGTTGTCAAGACCCAATCCGGGACTTTAAAGTAATCCAGGCAGGTACAGGCGATCAGATTGTAAGAATTAAAATTTTATATATTTATTTTCTATAACTAATATTTAACAAATAAAAGTGTCGCTAAAGAAAATTAATTAAAGTAGTAAATTTACTTCATTGTCGATTTTCCGCATCTTATATAATCATTTTATCTATTATTGTTTATATTTTAACCAAATAATTTAAACCTAAAATGATAGTTTAAAATGGCAATAAAGTAAACAAAACAAATGAATATTTACACTCCTAAGCTACAGTAATGTAGCAAAAAGTGAACGGTATGCATGCTAGTCAGAGAAACTATAAATCAATATAAAAGCAATAACAATGAAAGTGTCGCTAAAGAAAATTAATTAAAGTAGTAAATTTACTTCATTGTCGATTTTCTGCATCTTATATAATCATTTTATTTATTATTATTTATATTTTAACCAAAAAATTTAAACCTAAAATGATAGTTTAAAAGGGCAATAAAGTAAACAAAACAAATGAATATTTACACTACTAAGCTACAGTAATGTAGCAAAAAGTGAATGATATGCATGCTAGTCAGAGAAACTATAAATCAATATAAAAGCAATAACAATTTATTTTTTCAGATATAATTTTTCACGATAGTTCATAGCATTCAATGCATTTTATCATACCAATAACATGTTTATATCATTTTATATATTTACAACCTTCAGAGAAGCACAATCTAAAATTGTGTTAATTAAGACACATGAATATCAATAATCTCTTTCATTCACGTGCACGGGTAATTTAGCGTTACCTCGCTAGTAACATAAAAAGATAAACTCCATCATAGCAAACATGCACATGTAAGCATACTAAGAAAATTGCTATTTAATAATGATTATTTCATTCTCATTTGCCTAGTAGTCATAATACTTGTTTAAAAATTAATATCTATGATAATTTGCACAATAATAAGTACACATCGTTCCAACAATATAAATAAAAATTCAAGAGAATCATAAAGTATGAATTTGCAAAAATTTCAATATAACTAGTAACAATAACTACATTTAGTCTAGAAAAGTAAAAATATTACTATAGCATAAGAACATGAGTACTCACCGTTAATGTCGCAACTTTCTTCTTTTTCCTCCAAACTAAACTTCTATAGCTTAAATCTTATTTAATTAAATATTTTTTTAAATATTTTAATATATATATATATATATGTACAGCATATAATTAAATAACTTAATTAATATATCAAAACTCACCTTTAATATCTCGGTCGAAAGCCCTAACAAGCACGTGGGACCTCTTCTTCCTCCTTTGCACGCAAGATCCGGCTCCTACCCGCTACACACAAGCCTTACCTTCCTCTCCTAGGGCTTGAGTTCTTCATCTTTCATTCGCACCGAAGTCGCTCGATGCTTCCTTCTTTTTTTTCTTCTTCCTACACACATACAGTTAGGGTTTGTGTCGTCTTTTCTACGGTTTTGATGCTTCCTCCCACAAGCCAATATCGCAGCAACAGTGACTCCAACTTCACTTCCTTCATGTACACAAATTGACTTGCCCTAGATGCAGGCAAGTCATCCTTTTCTAAGTCTCGCTCGTCACCTACAGGTAAGGAAAAATGGACATGACAACACTCCCCTCCGCTTCCCTTCTTGCTCTCAGTCTCTCGTTCTCATTGTTTCATTAATTCAAAATGGAGTATACAACTCTTAAGTCAAAACAGAGAGAAGCTTATCCTTATGTCTATTCAATTATTAATGTTATCATTATTACTATGATGATTTTTCTTTTTTATTCCAGTTATTACAAGGGTAATGTTAGACCGGCGCCAAACCTACTAAAGAATTTGAAGACTTATGTTAGACACAAAGAAAAAAGAGCAATTTAGTCATTTGTTAGTTATTATTGTGAGGTATAAATAGAGTTTATTATGCTTAGAGTTAAGTTATGTGATGATATTATTGTCTTGAGTCTTAATATTAGGATCTGAGAGAGATTGTCAACCTCTCAAATTGAGTTCTTAGGGTTAAAGTTTGAGAGAGATCATCTACATTTCAAATTGTAGGTGATTATCTTTATGTATTTAAGCTGTGTTGCTTGATGTTATTGAAATAAAATATTCGATTGCCTTAATTTTTGTAGAAATCCTCGGATTCCTAACACATTTCTAAGATCAAAAAAATGAAACAAGCAAAAAAAGCTGAAAGATTTAGCTACAATGAACACAGGAAAGCAAACCTCGTCACCATCGCCCAAGTTTACGTCACCCCATGAGTTAGCTACTAAATTGATAGCTTCAGTAGCATTCCGAGTAAACACGATCTCTCTATGATCTGATGCATTGATGAAATCTGCGACTTTTTCTCTGGCATTCTCATATGCAGTTGTAGCCTTTTGACTAGCCACAAACAAAATGACAACAAGCGAACATTAAGAGAGCTTGAACCATAAAAAACAACAACAAAAAAAAAACTTGGGTACCAAAGAAAATGTTAGTTTGGTAATTCATGTAAAATGGAAAGCACAAAAAAAGAGACTTTATTCTTTTAATGTTCTTAAATTGCAATGGACAAAGCACAAAGTTAAGGTAATATTAGAGAATCCTCCGGCCCTTAGGATGACCAAAAATTCACACCCTTGATACTTTCAAGGTGGGAATATAGAATCATAATAATATAAACATCACCATTAACATTCCAAAATATGGCATTTTCTGATATCAAAAGAAATACAAGGTGGTGCAAATTGTTCAAAATTATTTGTAGGATAGTTGGTCAATACAAATTAATCATACATTGAGGGTTTGTGAACGATCTGACCTTAAGCCAATTCAATCATGGCTCAAGATCATTCTTGAACTATCGAATCTGAAGTTTATTTAACTCCAACCTAATTGATTCAAAGTCATTCAATATGATCTTAACGAGCCAAACTTAACTTTAGGTTGTCTTAATAGAATCTCAATTCAAAACAGGACAATCCTATATATTTCAATTCAAGCAACTCAAGCCCATAGTCAACCAAAATAAACCCATACAAAAATATACGCGAGAATGTGCGTCTGTGTGCATGTGTGAGCATGTGTGAGCATATGTGTGCGCGCGCGCGCGCACCCATTGAAGCATAGATATGCAAATACATTTCAATCTAGTCATGTATGCATTCAAGCATATATACATATACATTTCAATCTAGTCACAAGCTAGCTCAATTTACTATGGTTAGCTCAGTTCTAGTTTGATGTGATTAGGGGATTACATATTAATATATTTCATTAGAACTTAACAAAGAAAAAAAGCTAATCCAATCCTCAAATGATATTCAATCTTCTAGCCAAACTTCTAGGCCCTGCATGCCTCAAGTACATCATGATATTGAGCCAACCTCCATATAGTTTGTACATAAAAAAAAAAAGTTAATGTAACCACATAAAATGTGATATTTATTACACTAATAATTACACCAAAAAGAAGTCAATTGAATGGAGAAACTAACTTCCATTTCAAATTGCAGAAAGCTTGCGAGTCATTGATAGAAATACGTAAATTCTAATACATCTAGGGAATGTATGGTTTAAGAAAAGCATAGTGAGCACCACGGATTATGATTGTACAAATGGAGAGCAGTATAGGAAAAAAGTTATTGACCAGTAATATGCATGCAGTCTATAAGCAATTCAACAGATTAGGCAGTGAGCTCAATCTAGTACGGCAACACAAACCACCTAACTGTTGCTAGAATGAGAACCTATCAAAAACCAAATTATTCAATGCCATCAAGATCAATGACAATATTAATCTGTGGAAAATGATAAAAAGAAACAAGCTAGAATCTGTATGATACATGGACATTAATGCATTCATGAAGAGTTCAAACAAAGTAAGGCTATGCAACCCGCCAATTAAGAGTTTAATTGCAAACTGGAGAATAAGGATATCACTGCAATAACCAAGAAAATAACAAAAAATTGCAAAGTTGACATTGCAATTATTTTGCATGAAAATAAGAATAGATCCACAAATCTAAATAGTTGTTTCTATGGATTATATGATGTCCTCTAAGATCACAAGTAAAAAATAAGCATGTAAATACTTTACTATAAAGCACGGGAGTGAAAAATTTAAGACAGAAGGTAGTAGTTTAACCACCAAATTTATATTCCATGTTTTAAGGTATAGCATACAATAAGTAATCAGGCTTTAGAGTTTACGACTTTCAAAACCTAGCTAAGTGAGCCTTTCACAAAATTTTAGCATTCATAAATTTTGGTATTGTATTAAAAACTTAAGAATTTTTGGAATTTTTACTATGACCCAACTTTCATATGGATTTTTTATCAGCAACTTTATCCGAGCCTCTTCCTTTTATGGAGAGAAAGTAGGACCTAGAAAAATGAGAAGGTGGGAAGGCATTTTTTTTCAGGAGCCTGCAAAAGGTTGCATAAATGACCAAAGAGAAGAGTAAGATAAAGTAAGCATTTAGGGATTGTTACTACTCCATTCTCAATGGCTTCTCTAGAGAATTTTTTTCATCAAGTGTTGATGAAATCTCCTCATCTCTTTCTGGTTAATCGTTAGAAAAAGGAATTGATGCATGCATGCATCGTTCCCTAGTTAGCACTTCTTTCTCTCTGTCTTCTAGCCCAATGAATGTGTTCATTATTTTTCCATAAAACATGTCATTTCGGTGATTTTTATTTTCTAGACTCTGTTTTTTAACTTGTTCCAAATATTTTTGGTGGTGTTCTTACATAAGCACACCTAGATTAGTCCTAATTCTTCTGTGCCACCAAGATAGATACTTTGGGCCATTTGCCAAGACATTAAGAAGCAAATATCATCCAAGAATAGGCTAAATATCTACTTACGACTTAGGGATTAAGAAGAATTAATGACCATCTTCCATAGGAATTCAGCTTCATGGAATATAATAAGTTAATTACTCAATTTTATCAGCAAAAAAGGACAAGTAAAAAGTCATGGTCAAGAAATTATGTGTGAGGATTTACACAAAACCATCGTCCAATAACACAAACAAAGAAGAAGCACATTGACATTTTTTACAAAAAATCTACTTAAACAATATGTTAATTGTCAATACAGAAAGACGGACCAATAACTTACAGACTCCACGGAATTCATATTCCCCCAATCAAAGGAGCAAAATATCAAGTATAAGATGCTTCTAAAAAGATTATAGAGAAGAAAACTCCTTCTTTCTGCAATAGAAGCTAAAACATCAGACGAAAAACAGTTCCGTGATACCTCAAATAGTGCACTCCACGATGGACGTTAGAATTAGAAAACTCATAATACTCCTTCAATGCCTTCAGAACGTAGTTTGGCTTTTGAGAGGTTGCGGCGTTATCCATATAGACCAGATCACGGCCATTAACCTTCTGCAATGTCCAAGATAAGCTAAATATAAATTTCTTACGAACTGTAGAAAATTTTAAAAGGGTTACAAAACTAGAGCTTTTGATCAATACAACATCAAAAAATTGATATTTATCGCATTAGCAACGAATTTGGACCAAAGATGCTGGATAACCAAAGAAGAAGCATCGAATTATTGTTACCTGACGAAGGATCGGGAAATCGGACCTTGTGATGTCTCCTAGAGAAGTCGACTCCGAGTGTTCCAGCGGGACGAAGGCAGTAGTGGAGCCTTTAATGGAAAAAGAAGATGAACGCCGTCTGGTCCGGGAACCGACACCTGCGATGTTAGGGTTAGGGCTAGAGCTGGTGACGAAGACATTGGGGTGGACAATACCTTGAGATTTGGAGTTGGAGAGGAGCTTCGATAGGGAGCTGTGACAAGGGGGTGGGAAATGGCAAAGGGCGCCCATTTGCCTTGCGGATCAAACTAAACTGATTGGTAATGCGCGCTTCCGATGGAGGCCATGGTACTTATAGTAAATGCACTCACTGGTCGGACCATGAGTTAAACGAATCGGCTTGGCCGAATTCGTCGTTTTCAGAAAAACAAAAAGAAAACGGATTTGTTTAATTGCCCGTTAGATCAGCGACTAAAAGGATAGTTTTTTAGGTGCTTTTTATTTTGGAAAGCATCTAAGGAGCTGTTGGGGGAATATTGCTTCCCCAAACTGAAGTTTTGTGAACTCGTGTCTTTCCATTGTCTGCTTCGCTGTTTAAGGTTTCGGCGCTGATTCTCTGTGCAGTCAAAACTCTTCCCGTCTATCTTCGATTCTTCGGTATTCTTCTGTATGGATCCCCGGTTCTATGTTACATACTTCGATATTTTGTTCATCCTTTGCATTTTCGTATTATGATGTATTTTTCAGAAAATGATATTCTGTTTTTCTTCCCCATAGTCGAATTTTTGGAATTTGATCATCTTTGTCCGAGAAAGTATTTCTATGTTGGGTGTACTGAGCGCATTCCATGTTATATACTGGGAATTTATGGATCATTTCTTCTGTTTTGGTTGTTTTTTTTGTTTTTGACTTGGTGTGGATTCAATGAGATTCTCTGATTTTGTTTTGAAATATTTTGGGCTTATCTTGAGATTTGGGTGGAAGCGTTTAGGGTTATTATGAAAGCTTAGGTGTGAGCTTTGTAACAATTAGAAGAAGGTTTTATCCCACCAAGTGGGGTCGGCTATATGAATTCTTTTTTTTTCTCCATTATGTTCTGTTGAGTGCCATATTTTCATCTAATTATAATAAGATGTGAGCTTTGTGAAATATATAAGAATTGTTTGCTTTGTATGTTAGTACATAAGAAATGTGTGCTATGTAAGTATATACACATGCTATGTTTGCTCTTTGTTTTGAAACGTTGAAGGCTTGGTGTGCATGTGGCGGGATTGCTCTTGTTTTAGTTGAAGTTGTAAGTTGGATTGCAATGCATTTGGTGGTGTGTACTTACATACAACTCAATTCATATGCATTATTTCAAGTTATGATATGCATTCTATGTACATAATGATAAAAGTTTAGATGTGAGGTTTTTAAATACATAAGAATTTGTTGTGTGTGTGCAAGTATGTAAGAAATGTGTGAAATGTATTTAAGTAGATAAGAAATGTTTACAGGATAAAACATTAGGTGTGAAATTTTTAAATACATAAGCATTCAATAGTATGTGTGTAAGTACATCAGAAATGTGTGTTGTGTGAGTATATAAGAATTATTTATATGATAGAAAGTTTAGGTGTGAGGTTTTAAATACATAAGAACACATTGTCAGTACATAAGAAATGTGTTTTTGTTTGGAGTGCATAAGAAATTTTTATTATGTGTGTAAGTACAAAAGAATTTCTTTGTTGGGTGTGAGGTTTGTTTGAAATACATAAGAAATGATTTGTGTCTCGACATTTTTTTCGATATTGCAATACTTTAATTCATTAAAAATACTGGCATATCATTATTATTTATTATTTTTATTATCACATTCAAATTTATGACACTTATGTGGTAAAGTTTTTATTTTGGCAATTTATTAAGTGATATGATGGATCCATCAAATGAAGAAAAAATCATAGAGAAGGTTCATTGAACAATCATTTCGACAACTACAATATCTCGTATACTGCCCAATACATGACATTCTCCTCATTATGTGACAAATGGATTGGAGAGCTTCTTCAATGTCATCCAAAAAAAATTCTTAACATGTTTTGAATATCCAAAATAATATTATGTGATCTCCTAAATGAATTGCTAAATCAATACGATTTGCATGAATTGTCTGTAATTGCACTAAGGGAAGTATTGATGTCGGTCGACATACGGCTGGGTGCGGTTTAATTTAGTATAATATAGTATTTATAAATTAAGTATTTTAATTTGAAGAAAATGGGGTCAAACTGATCTCATTGAATCCTACAGTTTGGATAATTAAGCTAACCACCAGTAATGTACCACCCTGAAAGGTAATACACTACTTGATAATAAGCTCAATTAAATAAACTATAGAAATAAATGACTTCTGTTTGATCTGTAAGTTGGCATGATGATCGACAGATTCCTCTATTCGATATGGGAGTCAAATAAGGTTTATTTTAATTATGGGTTCTTTTGACCGACAGATTCCCCTATTCGATATGAGAGTCAAAGAGGGTTTAATTTAAGTCTGGGTTCTTTTAAGTTCCCGTTAATTACATCTTAAGCGAACGGTTCACTTAAGAAAACTCTCAATAAAAATCAGAAATCTTTTGTTTTCATGAGTTCAAAAGGAAGGGTTTTCAACGAACATGATTGTGAAGTTTTCAATATGGATTGGTTCAAAAGTGAAAGATTTTGTTTTAAGAATTAATGGAAGAGAAGTATGGGAGATTTAAGATCCAGGGTAGGTTCTTGGTAATCCCCCAAACTATCCTAATGTTTGGCTCAATTTAGGACGATATTAAGTTAACTCTTGTCAGTTTTATTAATCAGGGCTTAGATTTATGTAATGATGATCTACACAAAAAGCCTAGAAAGATATGAGGTTTTACTTCGAGTGACTACCTCAGAATCCTAAAACAAGTTAGGACATGCTGCATATCAGGACTATGCAAGAGCCTAACAAAAAGAAAGATTTTATTTCATAAAAGACAGTCTCGTTCAAGATATTAAGTTAACTCTTGCCAAGTTCCTTGTTGAAGTGTCTTCAAGTCTTCAGGTACTCAAGTCTTATTATTAAAAGTTTTATTTGTTTCGATAATGTTACAGTGAATTAATTAAAGGGTTGTGGAGGTATAGGAATTAATTAAAGGGTTGTTTCGATAATGTTACAGTGAATTGTGGAGGTATAGGTGGAGGTATAGTTCAAATCTAGGCCAAGACTAAGTTCACTTAAGCTAAGTAAATCCCTAGTGTTATGACTTCTAGATTCTCCCTAATCTAAATAACTTTTATTTCTTCATTATTTTGTCCTTAAAACATGCATTCTATGTTTGTTAAAAATAATAAAAGAACATGCATTGAGATACATAAAGCAATAAATATAGCAAATAAAGAAACAATGTTTTATCAATTTTTTTACTTAATTTTAATTATTTAATTGTTGGTAACCCAGTCAAGATGTCTATGGCTCCGTCGTCCCGGGTCGCCAGGTGCTCAAGTTTACTTAGTCCGAAAGGTGGTTGCACACCAGGACCAGAAAATTCTTGTCAACATCCACATAATGCATCGTCTAAGAAATCTTCGTAAATTAGAACAAAAAAAGGGTTTAAGTTGCGTTAGGACTAGAACAAAAAAAGGGTTTAAGTTGCGTTATGTGATCTTTGTGATTAATATTTGATTAATTCTTGAATTACTTTATCGATTTTAGGGTTGAAATGTTTCAGGTTATTTACATCTTGTTGTCAGATTTTAGATGTTTTATTTTAGTTATTTTTGTTCACTTTTTATTACTTATGTGAAGTTGATGACTTTGAAGCTGACTTAACCTTAAAGCCATGTTTTAAAGCCTTGTTGCATTTGGTTTGGGTTAAGTTTAAGTTTTAATATGTTTTATGTAGATTTTACCCTTCCCAATGTGTTTTATTTTATTTCTTAATTGTTGTTCAAGTTGAGGGGTTTAGGTTTAACTTAGGGTTTAGGTTTAACTTTAGGTTTAACTTAGGTTCAAGGTTATACCTAAAAGGTTCTTCTATGCTCAACCTATAGGTTAGGTTCTAAACTAAGGTTTAGGGTAGGTTTAACTTAAGGCTAAGCTATGATTCAAGTTTGTTTAGCCTAAAGATCAGGGTTAACTAACCTGAGGTTTTGGTTAACTAATCCTATTGGTTTAGAGTTAACTAACCTAAGGTTTAGGTTAACTAATTTTATTGACCTAATGTTTAGGTGAACTAATCATATTGGTTTAGGTTTAATTAACCTAGAGTTTATGTTAATTAATCCTATTGGTTTGGGGTTAACTAACCTAAGGTTTAAGTTAACCAATCCTATTGTTTTAGGGTTAACTAACCTAAGATTTAGGTTAACTAATCCTATTGGTTTAGGGTTAGCTAACATAATGTTTAAGTTAACTAATCATATTGGTTTAGGGTTAGGGTTAATTAACCTAATGTTTAGGTTAACTAATCCTTTTGGTTTAAGGTTAACTAACCTAATGTCTAGGTTAACTAATTCTATTGGTTTAGGTTTAACTAACCTATTAACTAACCTATTTAACTAACCTATTGTTCAGGTTAACTAATCCTATTGGTTTAGGGTTAACTAACCTAATATTTAGGCTTAGCTAATCCTATTGATTTGGTGGCTAACTAATGTAACCCCGAAGTTAACTAACCAAGTATTGGGTTTGAATTGGATTAATCTAAGGGGATGAATTCAGATTAGTCCCACTAATGTTAGGAGATCGACATGAACCTTAAATAGGCTAGACTAGGTTTAGTTTGAGCTCGGGTTAGGCTAACCTAACATAAATCAAACCTACTCTCCTAATTAGTGAATTATGATTTGTAAAATGGTTTTAAATATGGTTTTAAAGTTTCCAAGATTTGTTTAAAGTCAAAGAACAAAATCAAGGGGAATTTAGAAATTCCACATTTCTTATTTTTCTTAATTATTTAAAATGACTCATTTAACTTAAAAAAGGAAATCTCCCTAAAGAGGAATCAATATGACTTAAAAAAATTCGAGAAAATTTTTCCCAAGCCACTTAATATCTCTGCCAAATTTCATATTTTTCTCATTTATATTTTAATTTTTATGATTTAAATACTCCAAAAATTTCAAAAATTAATTTAAAAATATTTAGTTGATGAAAAATTATGATTTTAGTTCTGAAAAATTCTCCTCATTTTTCTGAGTTCATAGCATCATTTGGTTTATTTTTTAGAGTTTTCTACAAAAAGTTATGTAATTTTAAAGTTTATTAATAATTTCTTGAATAAAATAAATAATTAATTAAAAAAAATCACTACATGATCTTCCTCACGTCCGCAATATAGAGAGTTGCGACGCACGAAGAACCAATTGTCAAAACTTCCCGAAGTTCGTTCTCCGTAGATTCTTAACCAAATTTTAAGTTCTTGGGTATGTTTTGTTCAGCTCTAAGAGTAGATCACATCCATATGGATACTTTAGTCTTTTGTGATCTAATTTTCGATCTGGAAGGAAGAGAAGTTCGGGATTATCAATTTGATTTAAGACATATACC